CCTTGCTGGGATTTGGGCTGCTTTGGGCTGCTTACATATTAGGTAGTTGTATTAACCTCTAAGCCACAAGTTCTCCTCCCTTTATCAGTTGAGCCAGGAGAGTGATTAAGTGTTTTTTCTTCTGTCAAAACATCAGGTCTGCCCAAATATGGGAGGGAGCATACTGCAGAGATACAGGGTGAAGAACAAAAGAATGTCAAGAAAGAACTTCTAACCTAATCCTGATTTTTTATATGTGAAATGGTGCCAAAGTAGGGAAGACATGATTATACAATCACTTTTTCACAAGAATATTTTTAATCAGCCAATTAATGAGTTGCCCTATTCTACCATGGATTCATTATTTTTAACCTCCCCATTACTATTTGAAATATGGGCATAATATAATACAATGCTTCCTGCATTTGAATGCTTCCCCCATTCCTATTTGAAATATGGGCATAATATAATACAATGCTTCCTGCATTTTTTTTATATAAAAATATATAAATATATAAAATGTATAAATATATAAAATGTAAAATATATAAAAAATGAGGAATATATGTGCAGCACATAAAAATTATGTCTATTGTTCCTTCTTGACAGATAATTCATTCTTATCCTGACATTCTGTCAATTAAAGTCAGAGAAGTTTGAAGTAAAAAGTGAAAATAGTTTGTCCATGTTTGATATGAACTAAGATATTTCATGAAAATTTTGAATATTCCTTCATCAATTATTTTATTTTCATTGCCTTCCATTCTATTTTTTAATTACTACTTTTTAGAATTCTAAATGGGCGAGTTAATATTCTATAGACAGGGGTATCAAACATTGAAGGCTACATCAGGGTTGTGTTTGACGTCAGGGGTGGGAGGGAAGCATGGCCATGATAGGTGTGATCAGCTTGACGTCACTCATATCAGGGCGCCTGTGGTGGCCCGAGCGCTCTGCCAGAGGAACTGGGGTCCTGAGCTCCGTTTTCAGCTGTGATGGCCTCCTGCAATCCTCTGCCAGTGAAAATGGAGCTTCCTTTTCACTGGCAGAGGCACCACGAGCCAGTTCTTCACTGTTTCCAGAGATGCCCCACAGGCCAGATCTAAGCACCCCATGGGCCTTGAGTTTGACACCCCTGCTACACACAAAGAGACATCACATGCACATATGTATTATACACACATACAATATATACCTATATTTCAGAAGTTACCTAGAATTTTCAATACCGAACCATTGCTATAACTAATCAATTTGATTCATTGTGCATTGTGTGCCAAAAGAAAATGTATTTTTCAAAATTATATTCACGTAAAAAGAGATTTAAAAACACTATGTTCAGCGATGCTGTGGCATAAATTCCCTATAAAAAGGGGGGAAAGTAAGAAGCTTTAACTTTCCATGAAGTAAAGAAGAAGAGTGAATAATCTTGGGATACCTTGCAAAGTACAGCTTTTTATCTGTATTCTTTCCCAAAGTGTGGAATATATTTTGCATTGTTGCATCGTAAACAGCGACCCCACATGTTTTTCAGTTCAAAAACAGTATCTACCAAAAAAATAGTTCATAAATGTATTTTGTGCCTCTTCGATAATGCAGTAAACAAAGCGATGTTCAAAATAAGTAAGTGGAAAGTAGGTCAGCACACACTGACTCCAGCATGAGAAGGTAAACTCAGATTTCATTACATCTAGAACGAACATTCTTTGATGTTATGCTTATCAAAAATGCCCCTTTCTAATTAATGATTGAAAGAGTTTTCTAAGTTCTTCCACAATAAAAATTGTGATAAGTTCATTTCAGATGGATTCCATGCTTACTTCACAGTGATGGTAGCAATTGTCAAATATGGCCAGAGATTTCCCCAGAAGATAAAATGATTGTGTGCTTCTCTTGACATTGGAGCAAGCACCCAACAGATGGAAGCCTTGATAACAACTAGTCTTAGCCATTAGAGACTTCTACTTAACTTACTTAGGGATCAGGATACATATTCACATGTATTGTCCATTCTTATTTGTCTGAATTGACAATAGCTCTCTTTATAGGAAAACGTATCACCTGTTTGTGATATATTATTTTTCTCCCAATGATCTAGCCCAAGGGTGAGAAACTCACATCGTCACGGCATCGTCACATGACATGATATCCATTTATCATCTATCCATAAATGCCTTAAATTATGCTCCATGTCATGGTAAAAGACAGCTGTATTATGGTTTCATTGTAGGCCTAATCATCTTCAGAAAAACTATCATAATATTCTATTACCTTAAAGGACATTAAACTACCATCCCTTTTACCATGTCATGGTAAAAGACAGCTGTATTATGGTTTCATTGTAGGCCTAATCATCTTCAGAGAAACTATCATGTTATAATATTCTACTACCTTAAAGGACATTAAACTACCATCCCTTTGCTCTGCCCTGTTTGGCAAGTTTCTTATGAAAACTGCTAGAAAACCAGATTCTGGACCTTATCAAAGTTAAATTATGGTATGCATTGTTTCAGTTTGTTACAGCAATGTTTACTTTATTTGTTATATTCCCAGAATAGGAGAAACATGCTTTGGACTGAACCTTCTTCCATTGCGTTCAATGAGAAAGTAGATATTAGAAAAATTACATACACACTCATATGCAGTACCAATAAAAAGATGAATAAAAAAATTGGAGGAAAGTAAACTAGCCAGCCCCCTTCTCCCTTTCTTAAGTCAAGTAGAATTTCACTTCACCTTTCAGTTTCTCCTACCTATTTTATGGGATTGCTCTGCCCAAGTTTTACAAAACAATGTCTTATTAGAAATGTATCGCTTAGCATGGAATCATTTTAAAGCTCCTTTGGGTGTTGTATGATGGTAAAAAAGAAATCTTAAGTACATTAAAAATAATACAATTTCATATCCATGAAAATATATTTACCAGGGGAAAATGGGGAATTAACCATTGCTTAGTACAAACTTAGAACATACTGTATTATTCTTTTTCTTAGGCCAGCTTGCATCAACATACACAACACAACACAACACACACACACACACACACACAATTTGTTATTACTTTAATGGATCAATGTGGCATATCTTCAATCATGCATGAAATGAAGAAGAGTGAACACTTCCAGATATCTTGCCAATATTTTATAAAGCAATGTTCTTGTATTAATTATCCTAACAGTGGAATTAAAGACAAAACCTCACAGCCTTTTTTTTTTACAGTACATTTTTAGAACACACTTTCCTTGAGGCTTGTTGAGTTTGCACCGTGGTCTTACAAGCACTGGAACACTCTTGGACAGAACGAGTAACTTTAAATGTTTACAAAAACACTAAAGAAGAGGAAAATGTTACATATAAAACAAAATACATAAGTAATATCAGATAACCAGTAACATTGTTCATTTTCACAGGGTGGCTTAGGTTCAAGTGGTTCTCAGTTACACTGTTCATTTGGCCTCTAAATTTGCATCTTTTTAAACACATTAGGTTTTCACACTTGATGGACTTAAGCTAGTCACTGTTTTTTTCAGTCTGTTCCATTTTTCAAACCTGTGGTTAAAATCTGTCCCATGCTCTTTGGGGAGAAAGTTGGGATATATATAGTTGTGCATTGTTTAAAAATTATCACACATCTATTATGAGCACTTTTTCTAAAAGCTGATAGCTATTTTGATATTCTCACTACACAACACATGACAGGTAATAATTGTGCAAACTGTAATTTCAACCAGAAGCCAGAACAAACACACTAGTTTTACCATCAGCCCATATACATATTGAGATAAATAGATATGCTTCTTGCATATTTGCTTTAAATAGCTTGATAAAAGAAATGAGGTTTGGGGAAAGAGAGTTTTGTTTCTTGTTCTAACCTAGATTTTATTCCCAATTTAAATTTATTCAGTTAAGACACTGTGAATACACAGGGAGAGGGAGAGAGAAGGAGATGGGTTGATAAAGGTATAGATACAGTATAGCTATAAATATAAAGACTCAAAGACCCATTATGAAGTAGTGAAACTTGTCTAAATCTGGAGGCATGCTCCTTATAATCTATATGTCTTAAAATTATTATTGTTTGCAGAAAATTCAGGGAGAGGTGAAACTGCCATACACAGTGAGTATTTAACTTTTTCCAACAATTTCTACTTCAGAATTACAGAACTGACTTAGAGCTTCTTCAAGCATTTTGTTTTTTCCAATGGAAAAAATGCTGGTTGCTATTATCGTTGTTTACATAAGATGCAAAATTTAGTTGTAGTCCTACATTTACTATCTAGTGAAATATCTCATAGAATTTAATGAGGCTTACTTCAATGAGGTTTACATATGAAAAATGCACAGGACCCTACTTTAAATCAGCTTTTCTCCACCCTAGCGAAACATATATTCCAGTGAGCAGATTCCCTCTCCAAATATATACCTCAGTCTTGCTCAACCTTAAGTATTTAAAACATATCCACTCTAACAGCCTTGATAAAGTCTGGCTGGGTTGATGGAAGTAAATGGGGATAGTGTCAGTTGGGTACAAGACATCTGAAAGATGATGAATTGGGAAAGGTTTCCTTGGTGGCGGGGAACAATCTATCTTTTCTTTTCAGTTTTTCCTACTGATATCCTGCTAATCACCATTGGCTAAACAAGATGTACATTAATATGAATAATAATAGAGATATAATGTGAATATGATAATTACAAAATCATCATATTTATATCATCTATCAAGAAAGTAACTCTTGAGTTGTTGGAAATCCTATCACAGCTAACCCACTAATACATTTTGAGAGTTAGTGTTTAACGTATTTAAAAGTACAATATGATAATCCTACAATAAAAGTGCTGATTAGAACTCCATCTTGTAGAATTTACCACTTTCTTCAGTGTCTAACATATTCCATTCAAGTCCAGAAGTGCAAAAATGCTTTTACAAACACTTTAAGAACTTTAGGGGCAGTTCAATCCCTCCCCTGGACTATTGCAGGGGCCAAGGGAAAGCCGAGGAAGAAGAAGAGACGACTTACCACTTGAGCGTCTGACAATGTTCTCCAAAAATGTATTCTGTGGTGCCACCAGCCCCCTTTTGCCCCCCGGCATCCTCCTGTGCCTGCAGAGCTGGGCTCTGGAGCCAAGAGGTTGCAGTGGGGCGGGCTGGGTGGATCTCGGAAGGTCTCTTGAGCCCAGTGCTGTGGAGTAGCTGTGGGAAGATTGATGAGGCAGTTCATGGTAGTAGCGCTCCAGCAGCTGGTAAAGCCCAGACTGTGGCAAGACTGCGCTCACAGCTCAGAAACTGCAGCCTCGGAGGAGAGTGCGCCTGCGCGCTTGACCCGCTCTTGCTCTTGCCGCCGCTCTTACTGCCCCAACGGGCAGGCAACATGACCAAGCCTGCTTTCCGAAGCGACAGCTCCCGAACCTGCTGCAGCTGGACGGAGGATCAACCCAAACCAGAGTCTGGAGCTCAAGGTTTCTTAAACGGAAGGGATGGATAAGCGGGAGATGGGGATTGTAAACGATGTATAGAGCAGTTCCCTTAAAAAACGAGGGAACAATAAACGAATTGTCCGACTTTTCGGCTTGTCAAGGACCGAGAAAAGAGAAACGATTCCCGTATTCCAGCATTCCTCCGGCTTCCCTAGAGAAAGTTTTCAAAGTGGTCTCATCCCTAAAGGTTCCATCGAGCAAGTTCAGGACCCTGGACAGCTCTTAACTTGCCTGCCGGTTTCGTCGCTGGTCAAGCGCTTTTCCGTTTCCTTCGTTCGCTGCTTCTTCGCCCGTTGCCCTCGTGGATCTGGAGTCAGCGGCGCCACTGGGTCGAGCCAGGGAAGGGCTGAGCGGTTGCGATGTGGCCGCGCGATGAGCCTCTCTGCACATCTGCCTGGGACTCAGAGCAAGAGCCGAAGAAGCCCGGCGGAGAAGCCCGCTCCACGCGCAGAGACTACACCAGCCCTCTTAGCAGAAAGGCCAATGGCTGAAGTGAGAAAAGGGGGAAGGCTTCGGAGAGCAGAGCATTGCCAGGAGCGGCCCGCTCTCCAGGGGCGGGGCTGAGCTGTCCCGTTTTCCCCCTTTCCGCGTGGCCCTGCGTCCCCCGACTCCTTGACCTGGTGGCTCGAAGTGTCCGACGGAGCTGTCCAGCCCAGATCAATACCGCCCTGGTGCAGCTCTCCGCCAGGAAAGAAAAGGCTAAATAATTCATAAGAGCCGGGCGTTTGTTTCGGAAAGGGGGAAAATGCAGAAGTGGAGGCGAATGAGAGAAAGGCGAAATGAAGAGCGAGTGGGGGCGGAGGCGGCCACTGGGTTCACTCGGATACAGAGGATGGAGTAGGCGGAGAGGAAAGAAAAGGCCAACTTTCTTTTCTGTTTCGGGTTGGAGAAAGTTGGAAAGGAGCGACAGAGACGCTAGAAAAGGGAATCGGCGAGGCTGAATCCCTTCATCCTTAGCCCACCATCGCGAAGTGGAAGCTCCGTGTTCCACAGCAGAATGACTCTGAATACCACGCAAAGTGAAGACAACCTAGGAGGAAGGGCTGGATCCCTTTCTGACTCTCCTTGAGGGCTTCACGGAGGCATCTGACTGACTTATGTCACAGTACGCCTCGTAGTATTCTCCGTATTTTAAATTTTGGATATGGAGTCAACACATACCCCTTTATATTTTGAAGGGAGATCTGTTCAAGTAAACAGGTAATGCCATAGACACGTTTCAGCCTTCATCTTCTGCATTTTCTGAGGACTTGCTGGTTTTCACAATGATTTCTCACAAGTGAAGACTATATCTTACTAGCCAGTTATGGAGTATCACACAATCATTACCTTGACATCATAAAGCCTATATGCATCACTGATATATTGGCATAGAGATAGTTGGGCTATTTCTAAAATCACTAGTGAATAAATGGTATGTCTTCACTGGGGTGTTTTCTTCAAAATAGTATGTAATACTATTATCTGGATTTGCTCCCAGGTTAAGTTAATAATGGCTTGAAGCCTCAATGGACTATATGACACATGTTTCTTCTTTTTTACCCCTGCCTTGCCTCCGAGAATCCTTTCATTTCTTCGGTGAAAAAAATTAAAATCTATCAACTCTGTCGTTTGTTTTAAGATTGGTCTCATTCTAGCTCATTCTCCATCTCTTGAAGAGTTCTCAGCCTCCCATCATAAAAGAGAAGATTTTAAATCTGACCCCTTGAAGTCACATTCTTAGTGCTAAAGAGATCATAGAGAGTAAATCAAAAGAAGCTCCCAGAATTTCAAATTCTTTTTTTCCTCCCAGTTGTTACCTAGAGAAGGCAAAAACTGAACCTGGGACACTCTGCATGAAAAAAGATGTGCTCAATCATTAGCCACAACAACTGAATGTTCTTTATAAATAATCAGCTTCATTAAAGACTTAATGGCTGAAAGTATATGATTAGTTCTACCTTGGTTCATTTTGGCGTTGTTTTCTTTTGACACATTGTATCAACTTGATCCATTTGGCTAATGTTTCCTAAAAGTCAGAAAATGGATTCACTTAGAAACAACTATGTAAACATTGTCATGCACATATCTGGCAGTCTAACGTACCATATAAGACAGTTCTTACACCTTGGCATGCAGATTCTCTTGTTAAAGTGTATTGAACGTAGCCTAGAGAAATGGATAAATGCTTGATGCTCCATTCTGGATATAATTCCAAATGTAATTCTAGATATAATTATTAGGTATTTGCAATCCCAATGGGCACAGCCTTGATGGTTTTTATCATTTGGTTGTCTATTAAAAGCAACATTTAAATAGATGAAGCATTTATTTAACTGAATGCATTTTTATAGCCTTTCAGAAGCACGGTGTATTTCAGACATTCAGGGATCAATGCACTGCAATAATATTTTGGTGCCATTCTTTTTTACTACAGAATGTTGTGTATTATTTGGTACATTTGACCAATGAACTAATTGTAAGTGTCTGTGTGTAATAAAATTTTCCAGTGGCATAATACAACTCTAAGACGAAAGGACAGATTGTTTGTACTCATGTATCTATGGAGCCTTTTCCAAGCACTGGAGTAACAGTTACTATGTTTGAAAAGCGGATCTTCATGTCCCAAACATCTGGTAAGTGAAAAAACAGCTTTCAAAAGATAACCTATCAGGAGTTGGAATAGAAATTTGCAACCCAAAAACAAAATTATATCCTTGCACTTATATGTCTATTCTCCACTGTGCATTTATATAAGTTCTGTAAATTTGTTTTGGGGACTGTTTTTATTGTGCCTGCAATAGCTAATTGGATAAAAATCAAGCCTCAGAAGCAAAAGATTTTGGGATGCATGCTGTTGTATATTATTTTCCTTATTGTTTTTAGTGAGAAACTCAATAGATGTACTATAGTTCTTGTTTAGCAACTGGCTTAGTGACTGTTCACAGTTATGATAGTAATTAAAAATTAACCTTGCAACCAATCCTCACATAAATCTTTGCAAGTCTGTAAAGCAAAGGAAAGCTGGAATAAATTGTAAGCACAGTTGTGGTTTCACATAGTAGCTTCCTTGTTTAATTATCATACTGCCAGTCCCAACTATGGTAGATAAATAAGGACTATCCAAACAACTTGTTAGAAAAAGTAAATCATTCATGTGACTTGTATAATCGAAAGCTTCTGTACTGCCATCAGGAAATGTGCCCATTCTGCTTTTACTTGAATGACATCCTTATATTACTTTGCAGATAACATGGTAGTGGTCCCTACTCAACAATTATGCAGCATTGAACTTCCCTTTTATTAATCTTTTATATCAGATCAGTCACTAACTTTTGCTCTTGACTCGTCTACGCAAGAGGCTGTAACCTCCTAGCTTTGGACTACTAAATGATCATTGGATCCTCTCCAGTTTGTTGGTTTCCATGGAGAGGGCTTTGCCTTAACAGAACCCATATATTACAGTCGCAGAATCTGGAATAAAGTGATGAAATGTGAGCAAGGTAAAATGATGTTCTAGATAAAACATTATTTCCCAGATCGAAGCAAGTATTCCCAAATCAGGGAAATGCAAAGATCATGGCAGAGAAAGTATCCAGGTCTAATTAGAATATTAATATGATGATCAAATTTAAATCAGATTTAATTAAAGTAAGAACTATTACCCAGTTGACAAATTTTATACAAATTTTATACATTTTTTATTTTTTGGGTAACACGCAAATCTGAATAATTCTGAAGTTTGCCAGTTAATTGGCAACTAGAATTAGTTCTGGTTTCAGCCAATTTCTATTCTTTTTAGAATGACACTGGTGACACCAAAAATTAAAATAAATGAATGGAAAGTTGAAGCTGAATGCAAAGGCAACATAAGAAATGGAAATAAATAAGTGATAGTAATGGGCAAATGCATATTAACAAAAGGAAATCATATTTATTTGTAACCTTTGTCTACCATTTCCCTTTTTGGAAATCTTGTTTAACTAGATTAGAATTGATAAGTGTCATATAACTTTCAATATATTAATGTATCATCTATATACTCCCTGAAAGTGCTCATCATGCAGATTGTGGCATAATCGTCAGTCTGGGGGAAGAATGAAAGGGAGAAAGGTGGATTACATAGGAGAACAACCATTGTTATGTCAGGTGTGTTATTGTTGTTGTTGTTGTTGTTGTTGTTGTTGTTATACAATTGTATCACAGTGGCCAGTTGTTTCGCCGGATTTGGCATTGGTTACTAGTCGGG